AGCTAGGAACTTGATCAAAAAGGCTATTTACTCTGCACGGAAACAGGCAAGTTATACTTCTACCGCATGACAAAGCTCGAACACCACACGTTGCTCGCGCGACTCAGAAGACCTTCTTGAACGGGAAATGGGACGTTCTTCCACACGCGCCGTATTCACCAGACTTGACTCCACCTGACTACCATTTGTTCCTGTCAATGCAGTAGCACGCTTTAGTAGATAAACAGTTCAAAGGGCTAGACGACGTGTGTAAATGTGTCGATGACTACTTTATTGCCTCGAAGTCTGCGAGTTTCTTTTGCGACGGTATCCGTACGTTACTTGAGAGATGGCGCAAGGTCTTCGAAAACAATAGACATTCTTTCCAAGACTAAGTTCCCTGTTCCCTACATTATACATTGGATAAATTTGCTGAAAAACCTGTGGAAATGAAGTCACAAACACAACCCCTAAAACACATCACGCCAAACTTGCAGTGAGTCTAATGTTTCTGCCTTGTCAGATAGACGAACAACTTGAAGATAGAGACAGCAATATCACCGGTTTTCGATGCTACCAAACGCAGTAGGAATCATGAAACTTTACAAGAGGTACACCGATTGACTGGAGCGCTACATTGTGCAAGCCCACGATAGCGAAGGGTAGGAAACTAGAGGTGCATCTTGTTGATTTCTCTCGGAAAAGGCACGACGTCGCGGATGTTGTAGACGCCCAGGGTCCAGAGGAGGAGCCGGTCAAAGCCGAGGCCGAAGCCGCCGTGTGGAGCGCCCCCATGACCCCGCAACCCCGTGTACCAGGTCATCGAGGCTGGCTCCAGACCCTGCCGCACCATCCTCTCGACTAGAGCGTCGGCGTTGGCCTCGCGCACCGACCCACCCACCAACTCTCCGATTCCAGGCACCAACAGGTCCACGCCGCACACGAGGTCCGGCGCTGTGGACGACACGGCGCAGTAGAAGGGCTTCAGTGTGGCGGGGAAGTCAGTGATGAAGACGGCCCTGCCACCGACGCCGGCACAGATCGCCTGCTCGTCGTCCTTATTCAGGCCACTGGCACCACCCTCGCTACGACGACCTTGACGTTCGAGGAAGGCGATTGCCTCCTTGTACGGAATCCTTTCAAACGGTCTGTTGAGAATGGATTCGAGACGATCAAGGTGGACGTTCGACTTCACGCAGCCTCGCGGCTCGGTGAGATAGGAAAGGACAAGATCGAGGTCAGTCTGAAACAAAGACATAGCATCGGATTTCGATTTTAAGTGACCGATATTATTGAAATGCCATTCCTATTCAACGGTAGTATTGTGCGAGGGGTAGATCGTTAAGAACGAAGCATGCAGCGAGCACATGACACGATATAAAAGTACACGATTTAGGCGGAACTTTGGACTCAGAACGATAAAAAATTAGACAGGTTTGCGGTGTAAAACCAGAATGTGTGGTAGCAAAAACAAAATTTTAACTGATCGCGCACTAAATTAATGTCGCTTTAAGTCGTGTTTGCGTAAATGAGCGAGATTAGGGCTTAATTTCAATAAAATTTTGTTTATTTCAAAATGAGCACCTTTTATTGCGATTGCAACACCCTGCAACGCTATTGGTTGCTGCTCAGCAGTTCATTGATTCGCCCTCTATCAATTATCGATCGATATGACCGGGTTAGTTTTAAACATACTTCAATGTCACAACGAACATCCGTGACTAAAACTCATTTCAAGATCAACACCCTGTTGGCATTCAACTGTCCAGAAGTCATCGATCGATAAAGGTATTTGAGTGACTAACATCAGTAGATTGGCTGGACGTCGTCAAAGTTTTTGATCACACCTCGTTACTCGCACACAATTCTAACGAGAGTTTTACACCGACGACACTACCGCGACAACATAATGTGCTGAAAAGTACCTAAGCGTCCATCGCATCCTCCATAGGCCTGGAATGCTCCTGTAGGATTTCGAAGAGCGTTTGTTTGAAATGGACCCGAATACCGATAAGACAATTCGGCAATTCCACCCAGTTACCCGATTTTATGCCCTACTAGCCTGGATAGATATCCGACAACTCGTGCTTCGACAACAAAGACAACCCCATGCACATTTAATGCCACATTTTCTGCAAAATTGCATCGGAATTTAGAGTTCTGGCGGAAGGTTATTGCATCTTGATGCAGTCCTAGAGGTGTGGTATCTAACGGCGACAAAACAATGTGGGACGCGAAAATCACACAAAATCTGCGTGACACAGTTAGCAGAGACGGTGTTGTGTGCGAAAGCAGGCACTCTTGCTACACCTGGAGTACACAGGCCACAGTGAAGACGACGAAATTTGCAGGCGGTCACACCGAACTTCCAAACGGGGTTTGAGGTTGAATCGAGAGGAGAAATCAGGACTATTTAGCCCCCTACGGAGGTCGAGGCACCGAGGGAACAAGGCATCAGTTTGAGCACCGCAGAACGAAAAACAAATCCTCGTGACGCGTCCTTGACGGATCATTCTGGCACTAATTTAATTCTGCGTGTAAAATGGTTCTATGCGACAATGCAATTTGATGGGATGCCTGCATCATAGCCTGGCAAAAGTGGCGGTCCACAAATCACCACTTTCAAGGTCGCGAAAGTGGAAGGGAACTCCTAACAAGAGAACCCTCCAAACGCCAAATTGGTTGACAAGAAAAGACTCCGGTTTCCGCAAACACCGCTCTCTGTATTTCCATGCAAATAAGCTCGGCGCTTGTAGCTTGGGTTGAGTTTTGAAAAGCCCGAAATCTTGTAAAAACGTGATTTGTAATGTTTCATGCTGTAAAAGGCACGTGGCAGAACGAGATCCAATGATTGCATTCGACCATGACCAAAGTCAATTCGGTCGACCTATTATAATTAAAGATGACGAAACTAAAGCTAAACTTCAATTGAAATGTGGTTAACAATTGAAGATTCGTCTGAAATGTGCTGAAGTCGTCGAGGTGCTCGATATTTGGATTCTGCGTGAATTAGGAGGAATTCACTTAACAGAGCCAATCAAACGCAGCGAAATCAACCGCCTTTTTCAAAACAACCAATCATCACTGATTACGGTAACATTGACCGAAATGGAAGCCGCTAGCAATGTTGCGTATTTTGAGCTCCCTCCAACTAGGCAAATAAGCGTCTCAGATGTTTACTGCCAAAAACGTGTTCAAAATCGAAGGCAAGGCCTCGCATATACTTTGGCAACTTGTGAAGCATTGATGAATCTTGCTGGAAAACTCACTAAGCAGTCATACGACCCGAAATCGAATTTGACTCACTCCTCAATAGCGCGGAGTTATAAAATTTGCAAGAATAGAAACAATAAGAACAGCGATAATAAGCATTGCCGTCGTAAAATATTCCGGAACTAGACTAGTACCAAGAGCGACGGAGGCTGGAAATGAGGTGATTTGTAATTCAGGACACACAGTAGTCCGGTAAAACAACGGGGTGGCGTTGGCATGGTAACGGTTACGATCATTCTCAATGCACACACACACAATTTCTTTGAATATTAGCTCCAACAGTTAACAAAAAATTGAGCAAGATTGAAATTTACGCGGTTAAACAACATCGCTAGGCGCACCTACCCTTGGACAGCCAGAAGAGAGATGCTGGAGGTAGGATGATGTGATATCGCGCACAATGGCTTCGATTTCCGCGCACAAGGCCTCAGTGCTGCTCATGGTGACGGACTCAGCCTCAAGCATGAGAAATTCGGCCAGATGGAAACGCGAGTGCGAGGGTTCTGCACGGAAGGTTTGACCTAAGGTATATACCTAAGCAAAATCGAAGATGGTGATAATAAATTTATACAAAGGAAATGACGATAACAGCGACACTTTCATTAAAGCACCAGTAAGGACGTGTCAAAGTTGTGTCGGAACGTGATTTCTAGGCCCCCCTGAACGTCCTTGAAGGAGAACTCTGGTTGGCTCGAAATTCGAACAAATAAAAGGACTCAACGACACTGTTTTACTGTAAACCACGAAGATATACCCTTCATTCACATTTTCTAAGCGTTGAAACGGGTTTTTGACCACAAACCAAATCCCTGCCATAAAACTGAACGGAGCAATTGAAAATGATGGCGATTCGTGGAGGTGGTGGTGGTGGTGGTGAAAGTGGCGGTGAAGGTGGGAGTTATTGTAGGTACTGAAGGAAATGACGGTTGTTGAAGGTGGCGATGGTGGTGGCGCGCTCGGTGGTTGTAAAAACCAATTTAAGTAGATCCAGTGACAAACTGATGCTTCCCAAAAATCGTCAATCAGAGCAAAGAAATGACAAAGGCTTATAACTATCCCTATCCAACCTTCAAGTCGATAATTGGGGCTTCTTTAACAATACGTCAAGATTTCTTGAAGTAATTGTGTCGTCCATTTCCATGCAAATCCTCTTCAACTCATGCAGGATTCGTCCCAAGTCCTCTGGCAATTGTCGCAAATCGGTCGCAAGAAGTTGGAGGCATCAACGACGTCAAAGATTAATCTCTCAATAATCCGTCAACGGTTATGCTACACAAGACTAACAGTATCGCAGATCGGTAGCGATACCGATCTTAGAAGGCATATAGCGTGGAGAAATGACGACTGCAGCCAACCCAAAGTCGCGTTTGGGACTACAAAATCACGGCGCATGCAAATGAACTATTAGCAATTATTAGTGTGTGCATTTCAAAGAATTTCACACATTTTAAGGAAATTGGCAATTCTGCGAAAGTGAGGGAAGATGCGGAGGTGGTAAAAGGGAGAGGATGTAGGCAAACACCTTAGTAATGACTAAAAAGACAACTAAACGACCGATTCCCTACAAAATCACCTCCTGCAGAATCTCTGGACAACACAATTTGACCCTCCCATCACCACAAAAGAGTCGATTAAACAAGACACTAGAATGTCCAACTAACCACGCCTGTCGACGCGACGATGTGGAACATTTCAAGGAACCCGCTGACAGTAGTCGTGCCGGAAAGCAGAGATGACAGGCCTATTTCTGCATTGTCGACACATCGAGAATTACAGACAAGACTTAGTGAGGCGAAAAAGTGGTATTATCGAGGTGGATTCTGGGAGACAGTTAATTAGAGTTTAATCACATGAGTAATTCAATGCAATGATTAGTGCACGGGAAAGCGAGCGCGTGCCAGATAGTTAGGTGAGTCAGTTAGTGAATATTACAAAAAAATGCAACGATAACAACTGCACCAATTAGTGTAATCTCACAGCAATGACTGCGACTGAAAGGTTGGCGTTTGATCGCGGGGAAATTTGCGGTATCTACGGCGACGAAGCCACCAAAAAGGGGGCAGTGTCGATCCCAATGATGCACTGTCAGAATCAGACAATTCGCTGCGCAGGTCAACTGTGTAATCTGCACGAAATCAGTCGACAGAAACGATCTGATCACGTAGGTTCAAACACGGAGGAGTAGATTATGTTGAAAACAAAGGTATCTCTCATCTCTTCATTGGCATCTTGTTGACACAACCGTGTTGTACCTAAGCGGAAATCTGCTTGACGAAACCGAACCTGGTGTGGGTCGCAGTAGGCAGTCAGCTGACGCATACCAGCGAAACCTTGTCCAAAGAGCTTCACTGCTAGTAAGTAGACCGTAAGCACACATGCAATGCTGACTATAGGTGGGGGTTGTTGAAGGTGGCGGTGGCTGTTGGTGAAGGAATCTGTGGTGGTGGAAATGGCGGTTGTTGAAAGTGGCCAATATCTGCGTGACGAAATCGGACCTAGTGTGGGTCGCAGTGGACCATCGGCTGACGCGCGTCAGTGGAAGTCTGTCCGAATGGGTTTACTGCAAGTAGCCACGCCATAAACACATTTGGAATGCTAGGTTCTCACTGCTATAGGATTCAAGTCCCATGTGTGATCGCTCAGCTCTAACTGGCACCCCAACGATTCTCTGTAAGGTAGTGAACACCCAAAACCATCCAGCCTTGGACAATCGACAGACGAAAACAGGCCAGACATTCTGGCAAGACGGTTAAAAATATCGGAATGTGGGATTAATGGTACCTTACTCAATCCAATGGCTAGCGCCTCCAGGTGCAACTGAGCACTGACAGTGAGATGCAGGGGAACAGGACGTTTTTCTGATTCCTCCTCCGACTCCACCTCGTCTTCTGGAACACTGTCGTCGAGAGGAGCCGTGGTCGTGGGTGACGTCGGCGTCACCAGAAACGTCTCGCCTGCTCCTTCACAGTCGGTCGTCGTGAGGATTGGCGTGTCAACCTAGGAACGCGTCAACATCGAAACTGTGCCTTTGTAGCTACGACTTGGGATTATTAGACAATCGACAAAACTGTTTTGATCGGAAGAGCCAAACAGAGCAGGGATTCTAGGAATCAAGTTGGCCAAGTAAGTACGCTAATGGCAACTTCGACACAAGGCTTGGTCCTAAATTCATTAATAAAATGGGATAGCGTAGAGACGATTCGATTGGGTGGCCGACAATGCCACGTTTATCGATTTTCATTTTAACGCCCAGACATTTTGCTCCTTTTTCTGGCCGGGATAGCGATAGATTATATAATGTACCCCTTCATCTCCGAGTTCAACGTTATCGCCTCCGATGTAATTAGCTTCGCTTTTTCGCCCCATCAACGTTCGATGCAATTTAAGTCAACTCAATCTTCTGAAAAGCGCAATTAGTATCTTTCCTATCACTTGTCGCGGTCTGGTGGGAACGAGGATAGCCTAATGAGGTTTGAAGTTGGAAATCTAATTAGTCTACACAGGGGTTGCATGAGATGTAGCGCGTTTCACCTACGTAATCACCGTTAAAATTGGAGCTCTCAAGAGTGCACGCATTACACCTGCGCGAAATCGATTTTATTGATTTTCTTCCAGAAGATTCAAACAGTACGCGTGTTTGGAGCGTTTTTAAACAATAAAAACAAAGCTTAATTCGAAATAAGCATTTACGGTTAAAAGTTAACAAAATCACAAACAAAACTACAAGTGTTTAAACAACAATAACCAGTGTCAAGGTGATTGTCGAAAGTCAGATATTAGCAACTCGGAACTACTTCAGTGAACACCCTAACCACACCGTTTGCAATTGCAACAAACAATAGATAAGTGGTTTAATTGACAAAAACCATAACCCACCCAGGCTAAATTAAAACCACATAGTCTTGGTTTGACCTTGTTGTGGTACCTTGTCTTATTAATATTATTCGAACACACATTACGCACATGCGTGAACACATGGAGCCGAGGCTAAGAGGCCACTTGCACGTGATCTGTCCGCCGCGCGATCACAAACGCATTGAAACGTCACACACACCTGAGTTTTGAGCTACACTGACGGTTTGAGTAGTCGTGCTGAAATGTTGCTGCTTATATTACCTCCAGGCTAAAAACTCTGTCACCCACTGAATATTTAATAATTATTTAGTTTTATGGATTTTCCTTCCACGTACACCGTCAAACAAATTCAAATCGACCGCCCACATCCCATTGGCTCAATCCTATCCGGCATCAAGGCCAACAAATACACACATTTGCCGCGCGTTTGAGGGCAGGGTGACATAGGTTTTCATCATGTCTTAAGACTGGAAGATCCAAACCCAACAATTTCAAAATAAATTTGTATTCTTGCATGAGATTAAGCCAAAAAACAACACCACAAATCATCGTGGTAGGACATCTTTGCGTCCTGGTGATCGACCCGGAAGGCACTGACGAACTTCATTCCCATTGGCTACGAGCAAGTTGCCTGACCCTGAGTCAACCAACCTGAGATACACCTCAGATCTGTCGCCCTCTCAAACCTCTCTTTGTTTCCATCTTCTATGAATGTCAGCAGAGAAATCGATTATTTGGCGCCAGGTCAACAGTTCAAGCATCGATTGGTCACTATGCCCACGTTCTTATTGGCTATAACGCAACCTGTAGATTCAAATGAGTTTGTTTCAGGGGTTAGAGCATCAGTGCATCAGCGTCGTAGTAATGGAAAACCATTTCGACGGAACGAAAATGCTTAAACCAGGTATGCTGACATTTTCTGAGTTTGGTTTCTAGTTCTAAGGCCACAAATGAAGTAGCTAAGCCAATTTGCGCGGTCAAACAGAAAACTTCGTTGCCAGTCGAGCTAACAGCACAGAAATGTTTTGATTACGTGTGGCTGGAGAGTGGAATTTTTGAGTATAGTTGAGGAGGCAGCAGTTTCGGAGCGCGATTCAAACCCAAGAAATGCCGAAACTTATCTTCTTCCACGAACCACTCTGCTTAGATTTACCACGTCAAGGAAGCGCAATAGCAGACACCGATTTAACGACTTACTTGTGATGGATAAAATATGGCTACTTCCCAATCAAGGAAGCAATCCAGATGGCCTCCTTTTCCTGGTTGGCAAGTTAATGTCCAAACGATATCGATCTGGTTTTAGGGTTGATGGTGAAATCTCCTGGGGTGTTATATGCACATACATAATACGGCGAAATGCTATTCGGCAAAGTTGGTGCGATGATTAAATACAAAAAATAGATGCTTTCAAGATGAATTAGACGATCAAGAACTGCGTTGCTCCACAAACGCGGTGAAAGCACTCACCTCAAGATATCCCCGACTCTGCAACGCTCTGTGGACGATCGACTTGCACGCCGCACGCAGACGAAGAACCGACGACATCTCGGGAAGACGATGGCGCCACGCCAAACCCTTCTCCGATCGAAGGAGACCTCGTTTAGGCCGAGAGTGGGACATGGCTCCGACCAGATTGCTGTTACCGCCCGCGCCCGGAGCACTCAACAAGCGGACACTGTCGGCGTGCAACTCCACCGAGTCCGCAGCCGAATCTGAGGGCTGCTGTCGACGGACGAGGCGTCCATCTACGGACACCGCACTGCCGACAGTTACGCCCTCTGGAAGGCTTGACGTGGAGCAGACGGCCTGCAAGAGGACAGTGCGATTTAACTTGCCGTCGGACGTCTTGTAGCCTTGTTCATCAAGAAGGCAGGTTAAATGTGAAACCATTTTTTACACCTCCGATTCCCCAGACTGCGGCAAGTGATGTTGTCTGTTTTTCATCGTTATGGGTTAGGTTTGTGGAAGTATGGACCGTGGACAGGAGCTAATGAAAGACCAATTCACGATAAGATGACTTTCATCGAGATGGGGCGACTTGGAACCATTCTGGTGGAAGATACAACGATTTGGGGGTGATGCTGGCCGTTAATCGCACCGTTTTAACTCGAACGGATAAGTTGGGAATTGAGTCGTGCAATTCAATTTGACATGCAGATCACAGTGGCACCACACAAGTTGAGAGATGGGTATGTGAGCGCTACTTTACGCTAATTGGATTACACTACACCCTTTTGATTAAGACAATGCCACTCCTGAAGCAAGAGTAAGGAGGTAATGACTTAACGAGGCCCGAAGACTGAAACACCGAGAAATGTGCAAGAAAAAACATTTTCTGGGCCCTCGATATATCCCTAAAACCACCCACCAACCCAGGGTGTGCGGATGGTCCGTGTTCAAGTCCCGCCACAGCCTCCTTCCATTACCTCGTATGTCAACTCAACCGTACAAAATATCGACAACAAACACTGCACTATACATCTGCGGGATACATCTAGGTGTCACTGTCAACATAAAAAAGAGAACAGTCTTGTAAGTGGCACAACACACTGTGGCATCTCAAGTACACCTCAAGGAGCCCACTGCTTTGCTGACGCACGGTTATTCTAAAAGTTCTATCAAGAAGCAGAACTAGTTTACACGTGAAAATACGGCCCCTTTGTCTAACTGTCATTGATGTAGGCGTGATCATTAGCCAGTTGATGTGTTGCGCACAAAAAGTTAGCATCAAGCTTCCCAGAAACTAAGGGAATTCTTTCAGCCTGGCAGTCAGTGAAAATCGCTCCCTGAGAACATGGCGGTTTACAACACTTGCCTGTAGGGTGTTGGGCGAACTGCCATCGTTCACGTTAAGAAAGGTCTTCGTTTTGTGTCTTCGAACGGACTGTACCCAGGCGATGGTGGTCGTACGCGGTGACTCCTGGTTGGCCGGGCCTGGATCGATGGGTGGTGGAGCCGGGGTCGAACTTAGACGCGCCATTAGAAGACGATTACAGAAGGGAAATAAGTGGACTAGTGGACGCTGCATGTGCCTGTAATGCAAATAACAGCAGTGAGGCGCCAAATGCATCAATCACTTGACTAGATGCAGGTATCTTGACTCCCAATTTAGCGTTGGTTGAACAGAACTAGCCAGCCGTCTAGACAGCTTTTACAAGCAAGCCAGAACATCCTCTGGTATGCCCATGGGATAAGTACAGCCCCACTTATCCGTTTGTCGAGTGGTTTGGGCTAAAAAATCAGTACACATGGTAGGATTACCCGGGCATTTGGCCGTAACGCACGAGAGCGAGCTCAAGGTCGTAACATGCCTAACTAAACCCTAGTAAATGTAGGAGTTCCTAAAAACCTAAAAATAAGCCCAGATTTCCGTAAACTACCCAGGGCAACATATCTGGATTAAAATGCCGAGTATCTGGCAAATGAACTAAGCTATACGTCTTACCCTACATCTAAATATCTGACGCAGTAATCAAATGCGGACAAATACATGTTTTAATGACGTAAACTTCATGAAGAAGCTAACGCGGAGGTCAACAACCCTAGTCTCTCTCTCTGAGCTAAAAATGGCATAAGTTTCCACCGAAATAACGCTGTGGCATGGCTAAACACTGGTGATTTATTACAAATACCTGAACTGCTCTAGACGCTGCCACTTGCCCTACAGTGCATATTTACCCAGAAAATATCCAAACTCGACAAAAGTGCAGGCTGAGCGTTGCCAAACATTGCATAGACTGCAGACCCAAACGAGACAAGCGACAAAAGACAGTGTTGTTGATCATAATTTACTTTTTTTGTACGGAAAATAAAGAATAAGGCAATAAGTACATCAGTGAGATGGCTTTGAATTGTTTACGACGAAGAGCCGCCGAAAATATATACACGCCGAGATTATGGAAAGCAATAAAAATGATATACACAGGACAGGCAATTCCATGGAAGGGGTGGAAAACTGGTGTGACCTGGCGAATCGAGCATCAAGTGACAGAGCAGACTTTTGGTAATAGAGAGCCAACAGTCCACCAACATGAAAGACATTGTGGCTGTGCCCGAAATAATCAAACTTTCCCGGACAAAGTCGTTCTGGAAAACGCGAAACGTAGAAAAATATTGTAGTTATGGAGGCAATAAACTGTTTAGACCACAGCGCAGTCGAATCACAATAGTTGGCGGGGTAATTGTTGTTGTCAAAGGAGCAAGCAAGCAGCTTGTATAAAACAGGCAAAGACATAAAGAATCCAGGTGAAGCAAAGGCGCTTACCCGGAGAATACTACGCAGAAAACTCTCCCTAAGTGTTCTAGTCCATACGGACAAAAAAATCGACATGGCAGAGCAAAGGCACAGGAAAACCAAGTAGGTATCGAGAAAAGACAAACCAAACAGGCCACTTTTCACACGCAACTCTAGCGGAAACGAAAAATTCACATATGCAATGCCAGCGCCACATGAAAAAATGGTAAGGCCAATGTAATCAACCACAAATGAGGCGTTATGGGAAAGTCTATAATAGCAGCAAAATGTGTGAGCGAAGCTACTCCCAAGCACGAAACAAAGTGCAGTGGAGAGATACAATAGCATTACTGGATTAAATGAAAAGCCGAGCTCCTCACGGAAAAAGAGGAGTACCATTGGAATTCCGAGAATATGACTCCAGCAATTGAATGACTCGTTGTGGAGCCAAAGCAAGGAATTTATACATTCGGCAAAAGTACATCTGGGTCTATAGCCCTTTGATATGAATGGTTCCTTGACATTCAAAGATGCATTTGAGACATCACCTATGGGATCTGAATACGCAGGGGGGCAAAGTTTGAGGTGGAGACAAGGAAATCTGAAGAATGAATAATTAGGCTGCACGGAGTGAAATATTCTCCTAGCTCTGTGCTGAACAAGTTGGCAACGTGGAAAACTCCATAGCTTCACCATTGCTATGGACTAAGATAACGTAAGTGAGGCGCTTCGCCTGTGGCAAACGCGCTCCAACACCAAATAACGTACTCATCCCACCAAGTGTATTTAAATAGTGGCCCACTTTGACAAATGGTCTAAACAAATTTTCCTAACCTTGAGTTATTCTTAAAATTGTCAAAGTATTAGCTACCCTAAAGGCTTTTATCAGATTTAGACAAAGATCCATTAATAAATGTTATTTAAAAAACAGCGTTAATACAAATCTGTATGTTACGCCAAACTTGTAGGTTTTTGAGCCCTTTCGATCACAACATTGGGCAGGATCAATTAAATATCAGCATGACTGAAAATGACTTTTTGACTAAACAGATCGTTTTAATAATTCACGGCAAAAAATTTTTAACGAGTAATGCAGCTATTTAGCATAATGAAAATACGTTTTGTAGAAATTAAAGATATTTAAGTGGGCCAAGCCAAACAGTTTTAAAAAATCTCATGAGTTTATAGAAATACTTTAACAAAGCTAAAAGTCTGTGTCAGATTTTAAAAAAAACATGTTGATGCTGTTAGTTATTCGAGTTGTTTATAAAGCCATTATTCAGCCTCAAATAAAATTTGACAGATGCACACATGAGACTTGCATCAAGCCTTCGTTGAAGTAATCACAGGAGTATCTGTGTCTATATTTGATTACCCGCGGTATAACTATGTCTAGTCGAATTTTGCCGTAACAATAGTTGCGCTTGCCTGTTTTTTAAAAAAGTAACATGAAATTTTGGTCAAACTAAAACCAGCCTTAAAAAGCTGTGTACATATAATCTACAGTAGTTTGAGCGCCATGAGATCACTGAACTAAAAAATTATAATCGAGTCAGCATCGGCATCAAGGCACAGGAAAAATGTATTAATCTATCGACCTTGAATTCGACAATTCTTAAATTTTTATTACATATCTACATTTCTTGTGGGCATTTATGTACATTTAACGTGATTGAAAAGTACAATTGGTAAACAGTGCTGTTAACTCCCTTAAAAATATTTCAATTTCTTTTATTTCTGTTTCACAACTGCACTTTCATTAAGATTAGTCTAACACACCGTCCACTATAGCGTCGATGTCATTCTACCAATCACCTAGTATCGACCACTTTAAGCGAAAAACACTTTATTTGACCTGATGCCTTAAAATCAAGGCCGAAACTAGAACGAAGCTCTCTCTTTAATTAACACGTCTTTATTTGTAAAGAAAATTGGTGTAGAGAACCTTGAAAAAGGAGTAATTATAGAATTGAGATCAATAACCAAATAGAGCCAGATTATTCGATTAAATACTTAGAAGTTGCTAAAACTGTAGAAAAATGACTAGCATTTTCTTGATTAGAACTTGCTATGTTGCAACTGATGTGTGCTGGCATATGATTTTTCCGCGCACTTCAAGCCAGCTTCTGAACAGATTTATAGCAGCCAATCATCAAATAATTTTTTACAGTCAAAATACCTAAAATGAAGGCTAATGTAAGCTCTGAAAATTGTACGAGTTACTCAAAAACACGGGGAATTTTTTAGCACTTGCACCCTATATCTTTCTTGACAAAAATATTCAGTTATAGAATTGAAAATTCCCTATAGTCTCTGAGGAATCCCAAAGCACATCCTTCCATCCATTTAAACAAGGTTTCAACTCTGATATTGGTGCAACTACCGACCGCCGGTACTCGCGTAATTTTAAGTCACCCATTTCGCCCGGTGAAAGTAGAGCATAACTTTAAATTTTTGGCGGAATTATTTTGCATCTTTGGTCAACATACTCTGAATTCAAGATTTGGATATTTGCTGCCATATTTTATTCAAAAACTTGCTGATTCCTCGTCGGTCCTCCCACCCAGTCCCTTATTTGTCCTTTCTCATGCTGCGCTGGGATTCGCGTTGGTTTTTAGCGAACAGTAGTATCTACATGTAATGTTTAACTGACAAATAAGTGAATGCTGTACAAAAGTCAAATAGATGCAAAATAAGTAGCCTACCATCTACTCATGCACACTGCTTCCCACGTATCGGTGGCAGACATTCTGGATTTTGCAGCTCTCTTTCTGGTGTTTAATTGGGCCACTCTTCAACAAATTACTATAACTAACGGACAATACGATACATTACTGATTTTTTCAATAAATTTTACGATTGATGGAATGCATGTGTTGCAGCGACAAGACACAAATCTGGAATCAGTGAAATCGAATCTGTTGAATGCAATAGGCGCATCTGCAGACCAAATAATGTCTCCGATCAATGCTTCTTAACTGTTCATCAAGCGTTGTGGTAGGAATGATGTACGGAAATGTTAAAATTATGGTTCTTGAGGTACTGGTTTGAGCCAAGTGGTCGAGTTGACATCAATAGCTACTTGAACCTCGGTAAAGGCTGACAGGTACCATTAGCCCATTTACGGTATGAAGAACGCAGACGACAATGGCACAACCTGTTAACCAAAAAAGTCGAGTCCAGATGGGTACTCAGACAACAAAACACGGTAAAGAAGACAGGGTAAGTTTTCAAGATATCGGGAATCAAAAAAGGTGTGAATCAATGTGTGCAGTCATTAACTTACACACACTGTTTAGCCTCTCTGACAAATAGACACATACTATTTAGGTGCTTGTAAGTATATTTAAACAGGTTTAATTGTGCTTCAAGCATTGTAGCCGAATGACTACTCACTGGATATAAGTGACCGAAAGTAATGACTTGACTAGATTTACAGTTGGAATATAGGCATGCTGATTTAAATTTTGCAGGATCTGTATAAATACATACATGACATAAGCAGCCCGGTGCCACTTCGGAAAGATTTATGTCTAGTTAGATCTTGCATTACTCCAGAGTCCTCACCACCTGAATACGGGAAATGGGCAAATGAGTGGTTGTGAAGCCATGGTTAACGAAGGAGAAGCTATATCGATCGGCTGACAATACCTTACATGGACACCCGCCGACGAAGGACTTATATTTGTTCAGCAACGCGTTCAGACGTCAAAGCATTTGGATTCTATAACCTCGTTGTGCTTTCACATATGGACGCTACTAAAACCCCCACACCGTAGCATTAGACAAAGAAATGTTCATCCTTACTTGTCCATGATACACGTATTTTACCAACGATAATTTGTTTGGTTTCGTTTGGAGTCAAATTCCACTTCAAGTTAAAATAGGGATGAAAATAACAAGGCGAAAAATCTGGGTACAAATCCGGGGCAACAAAGTTTGGGGATCAAAAATACACACAAACGCTTCAGGATATTGCTGAAGGTATTCAAAATGAAAACAAATAAGCAAGGCTAACTACCACCCACATTTTGAGCATTATTTGTTTAAAACACTCTGTACAACGGCTTTCTTCATTTCATAAGCTAAGTTGCATTAAGTAATTACAACAATTACATTAGTAATAAGCACTGTTTTGCCCACAAAATAGTCGTGTAAATTTTAAATTCATAACTGGATGTTTTTTTATAATAGTAGTTGCTGATAAAGGACCCATAAATACGTCTATAAAACCTTAAAATATCCTTTATCTGTAAATTTGCTAATCCTTTGACATAATATTTCTTCCTTTTGCTTGTGTTTTAATTAGTTTAAATTAACTCAATCCGCCAGCATGTTGCGCGCACACCTTAAAATTGCGTAGTTGCATTGTTTCACTAGGATTGGTTGAGATTGGCTCTACAGCATTGCCACACGTAAACAAAGGCAGAAATTTGTCAACAAGTGCTGTCCATAGCAAAACTAAAATCTGTGTTTCTGAAAATCTCTGGGCAGTTCAAACGAATTAATACAAATACATCATTTTTAGCTGCAAATATTAGTGCTAATCCGTGTTTTATTTTAAGACTTTGCATTTAAAAATTGAAACATGGGGTCGTTTAGCACTTTCTCCAGCAAAGTTGGTGTTGCTGCTTCAATATTTTGTCGTGGTTCACTGACAGTTTAAACATAGCTTATCTGAATTGACTTGTGATCCGTCCTTTGATTCTCGGGTCACTTGCTTGTCAATAATTTTCAGTGTAATTGAATACACTAAGTCAAATTCACCCAGCATTTTGCATTTAAATACTGCGCTCGTTGGCATGATCAATTTATGTCAATTGG